TGGGAGCAGCGCGGCCGGAGAGCTCCGGAGAGAAAACTGCGGCGTGTCCTTAGGAGTGCCTGGGGAGTGTGGGAGCTGGGCTGGTGTGTGAAGAGATGAGGGCTTCGCTGAGTTACGGCTTTCGGAGGAGAAGAGCCTGAGAGGGCAGTGACTCTTTTCAGGGCTGGCTGTGGGATTCCGGAGAAACCCTGGCCCTCCGGTGACCTCTGCCTTTTCTTTCTCTTCTGTGGTGATTTTCTTTTGTATTGCTTAAACAAAAGAAAATGGCTCCATACATTATGTTACAGAGTCTTGCAAGAGGACTATTGTAACAAAATGTAACTTCCATAGGATGGGAAAGCTATTTTTCAGGAGTAAAGGGGAGGTTTGTTTTAGTTTACAGTTCCAAAAAATGTCTAATAGGAGCTTCATCACCTCTGCTGGGGATGATTCAGTAGTGTTTATGGTACTGTTTTGGTTTTTTATTACAATATGAATTTCTCTGTTTCAGACCATCAGGCATTGCTACAAAGATAGGTCAATACTGTTCACCAAGCTAAAATGTTATTTTGCTTAAAAAGAAAAAAAAAAAAAAGAATTGGGTATTCAAGGGTGTTTTGAGTCCTTTATTCTAGGACTGAAACAGAATCTAAGTTGAGGTCCTTATGAATTTGGTGAACTTGGACTCTGATTCCCAAATTGAAGTTCCTTCAACAATTTAATGTGTGGCTTTTAATTTTTTTTTCTTAAGAATTTTGCAATTCTGCTCTTGCTTGTATGAAATTGTTTCCTGCACCATTTGTGCTGAGGTATTTTTTTCTTTGCAGAAGTTCATTCCCCACCCATGAGCGCTTCCACTTCCTGTATGATGTAGAGGTTTTGTAATGTCTGTGACCAGCACTTGTGCTGCTTTCACGCAGGAAGTTTAGCCAGATGTTTCTTCTGGCTTCATGTGTGCGAAAACAAATAAAGTGCAGCCAGGGGGTGCCTGCCGTAGACTGTGACTTTTCGTTTTTTCCACATTTGCCAGTGTTTAACAAGACATTGCTAAAACCTCCTTCACCCCCCTCACCCTCTCCCCTTTTGTAGTGAGCCTAGACAATGAGGAGTTCCTAATTGGTTTAATTACCTACTCTCCAGGCATTTTGCTTGCTGTCTCTATGCTGTTAAAAATCAAGGGGCGAAGGCAACAGGGGGG